TGATGGTGGTGGATGGTGATGGTCGGTGGTGGTGGTGGTGGCGGGTAGTGATGATAGACAGTGGTGGTCGTTGGTGATGGATGGTGGTGGTGGGTGGTGTTGATGATGGGTGGTGGATGGTAGTTGTGGTTGGTAGTGGTTTAGGTGGGTGGTAAGTGGGGGTGATGGTGGTGGATGGTGGTGGTCGGTGGTGATGGGTGATAGTGGTTGGTGGTGATGGGTGGTGGTGGTGGTGATGGGTGGTGGTTGGTAGTAGTGGCGGGTGGTGGTTATAATGGTGGGTGGTGGGTGGGTGGTAGTGATGGGTGGTGGATGTGGGTGGGTGGTGGTTTTGGTTGTGGGTGTGATGGTGGCAAGTGGTGGTGATGGGTAGTGGTGGTTAGAGATGCACACAAAATCCGGATCCTCGAAATGAAACCGATCCGATCCGAAATCCGGTTTCGGTCAAAACCGGTTTTGACCAAACCGGATCGGATTAAACCAATGACCGGATTCAAAGCGGTTTGGCTTTTCGGACTCGAAATCGGATTGACCACCGAATCACAAACCGGATTCTACAAAACCCGGTTCTTAAACCGTCAGAAAATTTGGTAAAAGCTAACAAAAATTCGGATCAAACCGGTTTCAAATCGGATTCGGATTGTTGACCAGATTCGGATCGGATTTTGACCGGATTCGGATCGGATTGGACGAGATCGGATTGTTGACCGGATCGGATTTGACCGGATCGGATTGTTGACCGGATCGGATCGGATCGGATCCTGGGTTTATGCATCTCTAGTGGTGGTCGGTGGTGATGGATGGTGGTGGTGGGTGGTAGGAGTGGTAGGTGGTGGGGAGTGGGGGTAGGTGGTTATGATGGATGGTAGTGGCAGGTGGTAGTGATGGGTGGTGGTAATGGCATGTGGTGGTCATAGTGGTGGGTGGGTGGTAGTGATGGGTGTTGGTGGGTGGGTGGTTCTTTTGGTGTGTGGTAGTGATGGTGGTGGGTGGGGTTGGTGGTGACTGGTGGTGGTGATGGGTGGTAGTGGTAGTGGTGGTGGTGGATGGTGGTCATGGTTGATGGTGGCGAGTGGTGGGTTTCGTGGGTGGTGGGCGGGGGTGGTGCTGATGGGTGGTGGAGGTGGATGGCGATGACGGGTGGTGGTGGTGGATGGTATTGTGTGGTGTTGGTTAGTGGGTTTTTTTAATTTTTTTTACTTATTTTTTGATTTATATTAATATTATTTGATGATTTTAATTTAAAAAATTGTGTTTTCAAAATTTGTTCTCAAATGTTCTCGCGATAAGAAATGTTCTCGATTGAACGCCCCGATATATATATATATATATATATATATATATATATATATATATATATTATATATAATATATATATATATATCCACGTATGTATTATTTCTAAAAGAATTATTTATTCATTTTAGCATTGCTATATAGAATAAGATTAATCAAGATCATACTTGATTATTAGACATGGATTACATCTAAATGTTCACGACTCTTAGTCATTAACCAGATACGGGATCTAATATAGCATTTTTGTAGGTGATGGTTTTGCCAGAAACCATTTAGAAGAACTCATCAATGAGAGATTCCACACTTCTCAAGTAATAGATGATTTCTACCATTAATAAAAATAGTTTGTGTGTATGAATAACTGTTATTCAAGTTCAACAATACCTTATTAGAACTAGTGCAAACTCCTGCTACATCATGTTATGGTTCTTGAGCTGCTTTAAGTTTCATGTGCCTCCCACTTGCTTTGTCAATAAAATCTTTCTTTTTTGTCAACTCAACATTCAGAGTAATAAGAGTATTCTACAAATATGTGATTTGTAGATTTCGAAGCAATCGGGGTAGACCAACTACTAGGGTTACACAAGTCCATTACTGTTGATTTTTTCCCATCCCTTAACCTACCACTATTCACTCCTCACCATCCTCTATGATAAATGAAGGTTTTTTGCCACATGCCATCTTCTTCTTCCATTTGACACTTGTCATTTTGTAGGAGTTTTAGAATTTTTATTTTCCTCTTGTCATTTTTTAGGGATTTCTATTTTCTTAAAATAAAATTCCATAAAATTGTAATGGGTTCTATAAGGAAATAAAATCATGCTATTAATTTGATAATAAATTCTCATAAATGCTCCGAACGATTTAATTTCTTTTGCAAATGTTCTAAAAGATTACATTATGTTATGTAAAGTATTACTTCATAAAATATTTCATGTTTATGTATTGATATTAAATTTTTATTTTTAATAAACCCGTGTAATACACGGGTCTCACACCTAGTTTACCTAATAAGCACATGACTTTAATACTTCTCCGAGTCATACCTGATGATACCTAATTCATCGTGGGCTTTAAACCAAAGTTTTGAAACCCAAGTCGTAATCAGACTTATAAGAAGTAGAAATTAATCAAAATTATGAGAACTTGAGTCACACAATGAATCACAGAAGATGAAACTCATACCTCGTAGAATTGCACAACATGTGTTCAAACCAGATGCAAGTAAGTTTGTTGATTTGTGAATGAAGGTGTAGGAGATCTTATGTAGCTAATTGATGGGGGGGGTGAAGGTGATCTTGTGTAGCCATTAACAGAGGCAACATAGATGGCCTTTCAGTATTTGATTTTAAATGAACGTAAAGAATACTATCGACTTTTGGGCAGTGTTGCAGAAATCGGCATTGGCTGCCGATTAATTAGGGATTAATCGTTTGGCGGTCTACAACCGATTACGATTAGAGGTTCCTGACGGAAAATGGTTAATATCGGTCAAACTCGATCTTCACGGTATTTACTACTCTTAGGCTTGGAAAATTAAAAAAATTCAAAATTTTAAAGATCACATCAAAATTTACAAAAATTCAAAATTTTAAATTTTCAAATATTAAAATATTATACAAAATATTTCATATTTTCCAATTTTGAAAATTTTAAATATTCAAATACTTATTTTCTTAGGATATATTAAGTTTTCAAATAGTTTTATTAATAATTTAGGGTCCCTGATTAATTTCCGATCAATCCCTGCCTAAACCGATTAATCCCTTAACCCCCAATCGACCGCCGAGGTCTAGCCGAACGTTTTTTATAATCTTGCTTTTGGGTTTATGGGTTTTGTTAGAATGATAGAGATGATAAAGAAGGCAATTTTGAGGTTTCTTTAGGATGAACAATTTATGGTTTTCTAAGGTTGCGTTTGGTTGTGGAAAACTATTTTCATTTTTCAAGAAAATGTTTTGAGAAAATAAAGTTGAGTTTTCATTGAAAACTTTGGAAAACACGTTTGCTTAGAACCGGTGGAATTTTCATTTTTCATCTTAGAAATTTTGAAAACTTTGGAAAACTATAAAAATCAATTTTCTAATTTACATACAATTTGGAACAATAAAAATTTTCATTTTTCTTAGAAAACTTTAGAAAACTGAACGAATCAAACATATTTTCAAAATTTCTGTTTTTCTTAGAAAATTTTCCATAACTAAAAGTATCCTAAGTTTTTCATCATTAATGATAAGAAAATGTTTCAAGGCTTTTTAGAGACAAAAGTTCATATCTTGGTTTTCAGGTTTTTTTAGAGAAGAAAATCATATCTTTATTGTGTATGCTTTGAAGAAGATTGTAGTTAGGGACAAAACAAATTTTTTTTTTTTTTAAATTAAAAAAAAGTAACTCATAAAAAGTCTAAAATAAATTAAAGTTCACATAAATGTCATTTTTACAAACTGGAAGGACCAAATAAACAATAAATGAAAACACAAGTACCAAGAGCATAAGAGTTCTCATAGTTGTCTGAATTCGTCTACTTTCGTTAACATTTAAATTACTTGGAAAAATGAAAGAAAAGTCAACATTCTCGTCTCTCCTCTGTCGCCCTCTCCCTTCCTTCTTCGTTGACTCGCCGTTTACCTGACGACTTACCGCCGTTCGCTCTCTTCGCCGTTGGTGCGCTATATCACGCTGCTTCAGGTCTCGTTGTCGTTCCGTAGACATGTAATCATTAAGGCACATTATTCCAAGGTAGTTTAATAAGCTGTCAGTCTTATCTCATCGATCATAAATCATATATAATCATTTGTTCGTTCATCATCAGATGATTGAAATTCCGTTTATTTCAATTACTTTTTGTTCAGTTCTGTATGTCAATTAGGATATCGAGAATTTCTAACAAAACTTTGTGCATATTGTAAAAAGTTCTTGGTTATTTCTTTTATATTTTCCAATTTATTAACATGATTTTTTACATGTAATTCTTTTTGAATGATATTAAAAGGGAAGCTAAACACTCATAGTAAACAAGCTTTAATATTCTATTGTATAAGCTCTATTCCACTGTGCAAAACTTGCTGACTAAACCAGATTGTAAGAAGTTTTGATCTTGCCAAGTTGTTTCGGATGTTATATTTCTTGAAACAATGAAACAATATTAGGATCTTGTTAGTCCGAAGTTTAATTCATAAATCACTTAATTAGCGCTTAGTTTATATGGAAATAAACTGGATTAGGTTTTTTTAGCTACAAATTAACAGGGGATTTTTTTAAGATGGGATATTGCTAGTGCAGAGTTTAAATCATAAATCACTTAATTAGTGGTCAGTTTATATTTGGAAATAAAGTAGATTAGGTTTTTTTAGCTACAAATTAAAAGGTTGTTTCTTTAAATTAGGATATTACTAGTGCAAAGTTAAAATTATAAACCACTTAATTTGTGCTCCAGTTTATTTGGAAATAAACTGGATTAGATTTTCTTTTGGCTCCAAAATAACAGGGGGTTTCTTTTGATTGCAGTCTAAGTTGCAGCATTTATATCTGCTTGAGTCAATATGCTTGGCTCACGGGTAGTTTCTGTTTGATCTTTGGTCTGTCAGTGTGCACCTCAGAAGGGAAAACTTGGCACAACTGAACTATGCTTCTTCTAGATGTGCATTTAGTTTTTTAAAATGAGGACACAAACCAGTGAAACCAAAATTCATAACCGATGATGTCCGGAGGAAACTGAGTTTCAGAGCTTTTTGGGATACACCAACATATAAGGAGAAATGAAACAGATATACACAAAATTGGGCGAGGGTGAAGGGTCATCATCACATAACTTATAATGGTTGTCCTCTCTGAATTTTCAGAAGGATCTTCATCATCTTCATCAACTCATGGTCATAGATACGACGTGTTTTTAAGTTTCAGAGGTCTCGACACTCGTAATAGTTTCACTGCTTACCTTCTTAAGGCTCTTGTGGATGCCAATATCACTACCTTCTTGGATGATGAAGAGATTGAAACCGGGGAAGATCTGAAACCAGAATTGGAGAGCGCTATTAAGGCATCTAGGGCTTCTGTTATTGTTTTGTCCAAGAATTATGCTAGTTCATCATGGTGCCTTGAGGAATTAGTTTTGATCCTTAAGCAACGTGTGAAATCCAACCAAATTGTCATCCCCGTATTTTATCACGTTGAGCCGACCCATGTCAGGAAACAACAAAGTAGCTTTGGAGATGCAATGGCTAAGCATAGACGGATGATGGAGGCGGAGACAAATGAAAATAAAAAAAGTCAATGGGATCAAAAGATTGATCGATGGAATAAAGCACTTAAAGAAGTTGCTGATTTGAAAGGGAAGGACGTAACCGGCAGGTAACCACTTTTTTACCCATATCTTCAACGTTCAATTTTGTTTGATCAACACATGGAATATCAATAACATCTTCTCCCTATGCATTCCAATAAGAGTCTTCAATATCGTCGAATATACATATTCTTTTATATGCTTTCTATTAAAAATCCAAAATTTAAATGATTTCCTATGTGTCTGCTATTAATTATATATATCATACTACCTTACAATCAGAGCGGTTGTTGTGTTCATGCAAAACTACATTGTCATCTAAGTTTAATTTGATGGCATTGTATTCCTATTAGTGAAATCTTGTATTACATTGGTGGTGCTTTGGTCTTGTTATTTGAAAATTATAACCATGCACATTAGATGCTTATATGGTCGGAACTTAGAAGTGAAAATATGATGTATGTTTCATGTGAAAACTTAATTAAAGTAATAGCTTAATATGATATAATTTTGATTTGGGTCTTTGGATAAATTAAAATTTCAGATCTAGTTTACTAGTTTTGTGGATTGTGTTGTACTTATTATTGAAATCAAGTTTCAGGTTAGAGATGGAATTCATTGAAGAAATTGTCCAGGACATCTACCATAGATTACGTTTACCCTTAAACAGTCCTCTGCCACTGCTTATTGGAATGGAGGATTCCATTACATTTGTCACTTCATGGTTGAAAGATGCATTATCGCATACGATTGACATACTCACTATTTTGGGTATGGGTGGGATCGGGAAGACATCTTTAGCCAAATATATCTATGGATTACATAGTCTTGAATTCGAAACAAGCAGCTTTATTGGAAATATCAGTAGGAGATGTGATGAAAAATTTAGTGGGTTGCTTGAGTTACAAAAACAACTCTATGATGATATTTCAAAGGCACGTTCAATCAAAGTTCATGAGGTTTCTATATACACCTCAAAGATAGAGAATGTCGTAAGTCGTAAAAAAGTGTTCCTAGTTCTTGATGATGTTGATAGTCTCCATCAGTTGGATTCATTACTTGGGAGCAAAGGTTTTCATCCGGGAAGCAAAGTTATAATAACAACAAAAGACGCATGGTTGACAGAGAGTTGTGCACAATTTAAAACGAATGTTAAACCCAACCATGCCAAACACTTTCTTCAAGTCTTAGATGAAACTGCATCACGAGAACTATTGTGTTTTCATGCATTCATGTCCTACACACCCAAGGCAAATTATGAGGAGGTGACAGGAAACTTTGTGAAGTATTGTGAAGGACATCCAATGGCTCTTGAAGTTTTGGGCAAGTCTTTACATAATCGAGATGTAGCATACTGGGAAGATTGGATAAAACAACTAACGAAAGAACCCGGTTCTCCTATAGATAATGTTTTGAGAATGAGCTTCAATTCTTTGCCATCAAAAAATGATAAAGATTTGTTTAAGCATATTGCTTGCTTTTTTGTTGGAAAAGATAGAGATGTTACTGAAACAATATTGGAGGCATGTAATATAAACATAAGATCTGGGATCACAAATCTTGTTGACTGATGCCTTCTTAGTATCGGATCAAATAACGAATTGATGATGCATCAATTGCTTCAAAATATGGAAAGATTCATAGTACATCAAGAATCACCTCACAAGCCATGGAAGCGAAGTCGATTATGGTGTCATGAAGAGTCATTCAAAGTGTTGAAACAAAACAAGGTAAGATGCCATTTATACTCATTAGTAATAAGCTTAAATGCAAGAAATATCATCGTACTTCCTTTGATTTGTTGATTTCTACTTTCATTTCTTCCTATTACAACATTATACTTAGAAAAATGTACCTTGCTATGACAATGTCATTCAAATACAAAACATTTTTCACTGCTAAATTGTGTAGATTTATCAGTATATAATATACTAATAAAAATTTGTATATAATATCTAATAAAAATTTGAGAACACAATAGTATAATTGGGTATATTATTCAAAGTACAATGTCTTAAAAAGAAAAAAGAAATTGAAAGTACAATGTTGTAATAGAATTAAGTTAAAGTAGGATGCTATAATACACAAAATATGAAAGTATTTTGCTATTTCTTGCCTTTCATTATCCCTTAGCAACATGCATAACCAATATGTATTTTCAAAGTATTCTGTATTCTCTATATACTTATTTTTATTTTTTTGTATTTACATCTCTTCATAGGGTACAGAAAATGTTCTAGGCCTTGTCCTTGATATGCGAATGCTTGAGAAAAAGAAGTTTCATGCATCATTTGAGCTAAAAACAGATGCATTAAGTAACATGGACAATTTGATGCTACTACAACTCAATTATGTGCAAACTACTGGGCCTTATGAGAATTTTTCAGAAGAACTAAGATGGTTGTGTATGCATGGGTTCACTTTAAAGTCTATACCTTCGGACTTGCCGATGGATAATCTGGTTGCTCTTGATATGTCATATAGCAATATTGAATCATTTGGAATTCGTTATAGTTATCCACAACGACTTCAAAAGAGGCAAAAGGTAATTTATCTCAGTCTATTATTTTTCCATGTTCGCTTGATAAAATTCAGTACTATTCTAAGTTATCTCCATATCAGCTGTTAACTGGATTTTGCTTAGAAGACAAAAGGTTGCCTCAATCATTGAAGATTCTAAATTTAAGTTTTTGTCAACAACTTCATAGTCTGGGTGGCTTTGACCAACTCCCTGCACTTGAGAGATTAATACTTATAGACTGTATTGGTTTGCTTGATGTTTGTGAATCAATTGAGCAATGTGTTGAACTTGTCCATGTTGATCTGAGCTACTGCAACAAGCTTGAAAATCTTCCAAGAATGATAGGCATGTTAAAGAAAGTTAAAACACTATTGATAGAGGGTTGTAATCTCAGTGAATCTCGAATCCAGGTTAACGATATTGATTCCCCTGAAAAAAGCATAGTAACCTTTTCCCCCACCATTCCAGAGGCTACACCAACTTATTCAAAATTCTTTACCATATCTTTACCGAGATCTTTAGTAAGCTTGTCGCTTGCAAATAATAACTTGTCCACCGAATCCTTTCCCATGGACTTCAGTAGCCTATCTATGTTAAAGGAATTATATTTAGATGATAATCCCATCGTTTCCCTGCCATATTGTGTTAAAAGCCTTCCTAGGCTTGAGTCACTTAGTATGGTAAATTGTAATTTGCTTACGTCAGTCGATCATCTTCCGCATACACTAACATATTTGGACCTTCATTCTAATTCTAATAAGCCTTTGCTACAAAAAGTTGTGTTTGATCCTGACATGTCCCCGCTCGAGTTGTCAGTAGACTGGAAGATGTTTGCAACTTCCTCTTTTGAATTTGAAGGATTGGTCAAAATCCAACCAATGGCTGGTATTGATGAAAAGTTATTACATAGTTTCGGCTGGACTAAGCTAGACTTCCTTAATGAAAGGGGCTTGCGAAGTGATGTTTGGTTTTCTGGACCAAAGGAATCTGAAATCCAGGTTTGCTCTTGTTAAGTATGTCTTTCTATATATATATATATATATATATATATATATATATATATATATATATATATATATATATAATATGGCAATCTAATGAAGGTGGTGGTGTTTGGCAGGTGTATTATGAATTTGGAATATTCAGCACAATTTATGGAGGTGAAGAGATGCCGAATTGGATTACAGTGAGAAGCAGTGGGCCATCAATATCATTTACAATCCCATCATCTCCTAACACGTTTAGAGGATTGAATTTCTGTTGTGTGCTGACATCTCAATTTTTTCTGGAGGAGGGGCTTGGATTTGTAGATGATGTACCTCTTAATTTGCCAGTGATCATAATTAGTAATATTACAAAGAACCTCACTTGGATATACAACCATTACATTGACATAGTCTACCTAAGTGGAACTTATTTGACGTTGTTAAGCCATTGGATGTTTGGGATGAATGAGATGGAATGTGGTGATCAGGTTACTATTACTGTTATCCTAAGGCAGAAACCATATGATATTGGTAGTGCGGTTACAAAGGAGTGTGGAGTGAGTTTTGTGTATGATGATGGAAAAGAAGAAGAAGAAGAAGATGTGTTGGGTTATTACAAATCATGGAATCACATCATTGGTCGAGATCTCACTGGATTTCAGTCAACCACCGGAGAATACATCCTAAACAAAATTCGAATTGTGCTGCCTTATGTTGGTATATGACAGTTTGTGTGGAGAAGGCGCCTGTTTTAAAGGTAGATTTCATTTTTATGTATTACTTTATATCAAAAGCCGATAATAATTAAATGATAGTGCTTTAGTAATAAATAATTCATGATTTGATTTACTGCAATTGTTGTCAAGTCATTAATCTATTTATTTTCTTTAGATGAGGTGCAGTTCAGAGCTTTCTCTTAAAGGAAGTCCAACGTACCAGAGGATGGCCCCTAAGGTACTTTTATCCCAAAAACTCTTTTCTCATCACCATAATATAAAATCACACAAACCAACAGACTTATGCTTGTGGCTCACCCAACCTTTTCTCATCTCTAATGTTAATGGAAGGTGATTTTGTTTTGGTGTTGTTTTGTCCCAGGGAGTTGGATCTTTTTTTATTTATACATATATATCTCCTTTGCAAAAAATACACAGCTAATTGCACAACAGGATTGATCACATGAATGACACATATTTTTGCTAATAAACTGAGCTTATTGTGTGGGTGTATATATATATATATATATATATATATATATATATATATATATATATATGTCTGCCGAAATTCCTCTCAACCTCCATACATATGCTTGATGTGCTTTAAATTGATAGAAACTTATCAAGATTCAAGCAAAAAATGGATTTGATAGCTTGTCAAAATAACTGGAAAGATGAATGCTATCCTTTATGTTTGTATAGTGATTTATGTGCTTGCAGAAAAGTAAACAAATGCACAAGCGGATGTCTTAATATATCAAATATTTCCATGAATAATAAATTGTGATGGTTTTTATAGGTTTAATTAACTGCAAATGTATTTTATAAGTGAATTTGAGAATGCAGCTAGGCAGCACCATGAAAACCATTGCTGTTGCCAAATTTATGGGTGATCGATACCTTAAGTTTTTTCATGTGATATTTCATCAATTCTTATAATTAGGTGTGTATTCTGAAAAAAGAAAACAATTTTTGATGATTTGATAATAGTAGTTTTTTTTTTTTCTATTCCTTTTAATGACAGTTTACAAAGAGGGAGGAGTCGACTCTGCTAGACACATTACTGTTGGTGACACATTAACAGCAACTCCTTGCTATATATTTAAAAAAAATAATATAATGATAATTTTCATTATAATGTTAAAATATGTTTTTAATGTGTTTGAAGTTGAAAAAAGGTTTTAGTGTAAAATTTACACAACAATGTTATAGGTTATAATGTCATTGTTGGAGTTGGTCTAAATAAAGAAGCACCGCTTTTATATATATATATATATTTTTTCTAAAATTTCAAAGAAAATACCATACACAAATTGGTATCAATTCTTGATTTTTAATATCCATGAGTTTATTAATTGTTTTATCATGATGTTTAGAAAGATATAATAAGTTTCAGTCAAATATGTAATTAGAAGTATTATTAAAGATCTTGTGTCAAGTTTTATTTTTTAGGGATAATGACTTGATAGGGTAAGTTACTTTTTGAAATGTACACATTTAGTCCTTATTCTTTTTTTTTGTAAATTAAACCCTTATACTTTATTAATATGCACACAATAGGTCCTTTTGACCGGATTCTATAGGTTTTGCTGATGTGGAAGCACACATGACACTAAAAACAACTGCATAACAATTAATTAGCTTAGTCACTCCTTATAAACGAATGTTAACATCCAAAATCAGGAGGAATCACCTTCAAACTCGAACACATAGTAGATAAGAGAAGTGGAGAATTCGTAGAAGAAGAAAGAAGATGTCGAGTAGCTCAAGAATCTCCACATGTTCAAGCAATCACAAAGTAGATAATGAAGTCCTCTGTGATTGTGAACTCCCTTCAAGAATTCGTACCTCCAAGACCAAAGATAACCCTGGAAAGAAATTCCGAGTGTGCCCTAACTCATTGGTAAGTACCTAAATTGATTTTATTTGTCAAATCGCATCAATTTTCTTCCTCTTATCTTCTATGTTGTTGATTTTATTACTACAGAAACCAGGGAAAAAGTGTAAATTTTAGGAATGGATTGATGAAGAACCTGAGAATATGAAGCCCATTGCAGAAGATACTCTTTCAGATGTTGCGGATTATCTTATACAAGTTTTAGAGGATGTGGCATCTGTTAGAGAAGAAGTGAAACAGTTGAAGTGTATGATTTGTGTACTGATTCTGCTGGTCATTGTTAAGCTTATGTTTTAGGGTTGAAGATATACTTCTGGAGGTTTTAGGGGATTTTGATGTAATAGACTTGTTGTGTAATTCTTGTTTATGTAATGGATGTTGATGTACTTTATGTTTATGTAATGGTAAAGTTTATTGCTACTATGTATGGATGTTGATGTAATTAAGTTAGTCAAATGGAGGTAAAACCAAGACAAATTACAGGAAATATTTTTATAGACAATTAAATGTAAAGACAAATAAAAGTGGCTGACAAAAGGCATCAAGCCATTTAATAATTACAAAAGATAAGCCCACCAGGAGGGGTAATACAATAATTTAGTTCAAAATATTCGACAAGTACATCAAAAGTAAACAACTAGTAGGGGTAATATAGTAATTAAGTTCAAAAGATTACCCCATGGTACATCAAAATATATCACATGCATTACCCCACTATACCAAAACCTAATTACTCTAAGGTCACAGGTTTGTCTTGGCTGCATCCAGTTCCATCATTGAGTTTAACATATTTCTGAAGACCAATTTCTGTGATTCTTTCTGAAAACTTTCTCACCCTACCAGCATCATTCCAAGGAACCTTCTTCATAGGAATTCTCTTCACAGGAGCCTTCTTCACAGGAGCCTTTTTCACGGGAGCTTTCTTCACAAGAGTTCTCTTGACAGGAGTTGGAGTTGATTGACTTGGACCTGCTGTGCTTGAAGCTGGAGTTGATTGACATGGACCTGCAGTGCTTGGAGCTGGAGTTGGCTTACTTGGGCATGTGGCTTTGTTGTGGCCAGTTTGGTGGCAAATGGTACATCTTAGAGGAATGCCTGCCCTTGACACAGTATGCCTTGTGTGCCCACTTAGCTCTTTTTCTGCCTGATCTCTTTTCCTTTTGACATATGGCCTGCCAGGTAACCTCCTCTTTAATGGAGGCAAAATAGTATGAAGTCCTTCAACATGTGGGCACTCAGAACTGTATGGCATGTTCACATGATACAAAAGCCTCCATTTCTAGGTTCAATGATGAAATTGCTGATATGGCATGTTCACATTGAATGCCTGTGAGTTGCCAGCTTCTACATCCACATGCCCTCTGATTCAGATCAACAGCATACCTCTCATTTCTTAAGAACACTTCAAATTCTTTGTAGCCACTCACATAAGGTACCCAAAATCTGTCAATATACAAGAAGATAGTCAGTTACCATTATAAACCAATGTATAACTAATGAAATTGTTACTAACCTTTGCAATTCTTTCAAATCCTCTATCTCCCTTCTGATACTTGGGCATATGTCCAAATCCCAACTCAAACCATTTTGCTTCTGCATCCATAACCTCTGCATTGCCCAACATATTATGTCCTCCAACATTGTTATCAATGGTTTCCTTCTAGCATCAAGTACAGCAGAATTGAAACTTTCAGAAACTCCATTCTCTACTGCATCACAGTCCATACCCTCTCTAAAAAAAGCCTTTGACCAACACCTTGGATCCCCATCTATGAGATAGTCATAAGCCTGCTTTCCAAGGACTTAATCTCATTCATTGCTGCTTCAGACTTTGGTACAGTTGTTGCATTCACAGCCCTCCAAAATGGTTTAAAGTATTGTTCTCCTTTAAATTTTTTGTGGAAATTAGCTAGAATGTGTCTAGCACATAATCTATGCCCACATTAGGAAGTCTTTCCTTCACAACTTCAAATAATCCATGATTCAAACAATTAAATGATTAGTTAATTAAATGATCAAAACAATTAAAGTTAATTGAAAAAATAGAATGATTACCTCGTGGCCATCTGAGAGGATTGTAATGCCATGACCATTCCACCCTCCAATGTCTTCCATCAGGTTGTCCAAAAACCATTTCCATGTCCTTTTGTTCTCAACATTGACTACTGCCCAAGCTAAGGGATATATGTTATTATTAGCATCTCTACCCACTGCTGATAGGAGCCCCCCTCTACAAACACCCTTAAGAAAGCAACCATCAACCCCAATTACATTTCTGCATCCATCTAACCACCCATCCACAACACCTTTAAAGCAAACATAAAACCTATCAAACATCACAGTATTATCAGGTTGTGGCTCCAAGAACACCTCAACATGTGAACCTGGATTAGCCCTTCTGATTTCAGCTGCATAATCCCACAATCTGGCATAATGTTCTTTCAAACTTCCCTCAACTTCAGACAATGTTAACTTTTTTTCATTCCTACACCGCCCAACACTCACATTAATGTTGTATCTCTTAGATACTAGGGCTTTCAATTTCCTCAAACTCAGTTTAGGACTCTCCAAAACATCATTCACAAATTGTTTCCCTATCCACTTATATGTTACAATTGACCCAAGTTTTAATGCCCTACAACACTTATGCTCTGTTATAAGAGACTTAATCTGAAAAGTGTGTTCCTCTTTCATCCAGGAAGCATACAATATAAAAGGGAATGTCAGATTCTTTCCTTTACAACATCTAACTAGCAACCTAGTCTTGTCATTCTTTTCATACCATAGATCATAACCATTTGCTACAACATAGCAACTAAGAGAGTATTTAAGTTCAGCAGTAGTAGAGTATTTCATACCTAATCGAGGCTTCATCTCATTCTATTCCTGAGTATGATCATGTCTTGGGTAGATAGGTCGTATTGCAGTATGATCTTCTTGAACCAAGTCGTCATTTTGTATTGGACAAAGTTTGCTGAGGAAATGATCATTGAAGTTTCTTTTGAGATATATAACTTCATCGTCCTCTACATGTTCAGCTTTCAGACCATCTTCTAAAATGGAGTCAACATCATCAATAGAAACCAAATCTTCATCTTCAAGGTCTGCTTCTTCCTCCTTAATCCAATCAAACAAAGGTTCATGATAATGATCCACATACACATCCAATCTATTCTTTTCATTGATATCTTCAAGAAACTCATTAAAATCGCAGTCATTCTGAATAGCATGTAATCCCTCCGACAACCTCACTTCATGTGGACAGTAATACACATCTCTGCATCTTCCATTAGTAAGCTTTTCAAGAAAGAGGATGAAATCAGGGGAGTTGATCTTGTTCACAACCGTGTATGGTACAGAGGCTTTTACTCCATTAAAATACATCAATGGGGTAGGTGTGAACACCCCATTATAGTGTACATCAACGATTGTATCTGCATCTTCTGGCACTGTTGATGGTGATTGTGAGTCAAGAAGTTTGAGGGATTATCGGCTGAGTGAATGGAGGAATGGCTGATTAAATGAGCCCTAATTGTCGTTTCAATGTGGTGTAATTTAACAATATCCACGTAAGGTGACATGTGGATGCCACCTGGTTATTTCATTTCAAGAAAATAAAATAAAAATCGTATATGACCGGTAAACCGGCTATAGCCGATCAAAAGGATTGCATAATTACAAAAAATCGGGTATAAGGGTTTAATTTACAAAAAACAAAAAGAATAAGGACTAAATGTGTACATTTCAAAAAGTAACTTACCCTATTAAGTCATTATCCCTATTTTTTAATATACGACAAATTATGTAAAATACTTGGATAGTCCTTGGTTTTGGGGTTTAGTTAACGAATCATTAATGAGACATTGATTAGTCATGTGTCACTTTTTGGTTACTTTGCTCCATCGGATAACATTAATTTTCTCGATGAGTTATAGGAACATTAGTTGTGTGAAACAAGTCATGTTTATTTTCTTACTTCTAAGAAAAAAGGAAAAAATATGTTTTAAGATTTAGAAGAACTACACATGGTATTTTGGGTATGGTTCTAATGCAATTTGATTATATATATATATATATATATATATATATATATATATATATATATATATATATATATATATATATATATTAGTTAAAAAGGAATACTAGATAAACAATCAAGGTATATAAATGTCAGCAACATGTTAATTTTTGTATAAATTAATATTGAAGTGTTTTAAGTCTGACATTGTTTTGCTTGTTTACTTGCCATCAAATAACATTTTGATTGATTGTAGAAAAAAGAAGAAGATAAAATAAAATGTCATAGTCCATAGCCATAATCTTGGACTCTTATGAATTGTGATGTTGAATTTGATTTGCCAACAAAAAAAAATCATAGTCATAAACATTCATAATAACATAAAAGAATCTTAAACATCTATGATAACAAATTCAAAGTTTAGTAAAAGTCAAATGAATATCAATGAACTAATAATATTAGAAGTAATAGATAATATAGTATAATCATTTAATATTTTAATTAATATAATTATAGTGGTGAGGTTACTTAGTTTCAATGTTTTAAAAACTGGTTTTTAAGTTGAACCGGTATGGTGACCAGTTTCCGGTTCAATCGGGTTCTATAATTTTCATCTTTTTTCCTATTTTTCTACACATATATACATATATAAATAATGAACTTGACGTTTAGAAGTTCGAGACATATAATATATATATATATATATATATATATATATATATATATATATAAATAAGTTGTAAATCAATCCAAATATGTTAAAATAACACATAATCATAAGTTTTAATGTTTTACATCAATCCATATATGTCAAAAAGAAAATAAAATATAATACCAAAATAAAATATAGTTTCAGATGAATAAAAACTTTTCATAAAACTTTATAACATTTACCAAAGTTTATTATGAAAATGGTTCTTTTCCATGTGTTTTCATTCTGTTAAACCGATTTATTTTGACCGGTTCAACCAGGTTTTTAGTAAACCGGCCGGTTCAATCCAATTCAGAAATAGACGTAAAACCAGTGATTGTTAAACCGTTTCCTCTCACGGTTTTCGGTCCAACCGGTTCGACCGGCCGGTTCAAACCGGGTTTTAAAACATTATTTTTTAAGAGTTAGTTGTTAAGGTAAAATTGCATCGAACCAATTTTGATCGATCTTCGCCAAATTGAAAACTACATATTCGGTTTTTGTATCAGTTTCAGTTTGTTGTGGGTTTTTCGGTTTCTCTAAGATCTTTTTGATTTTTGCTCACCCTACCCATATCCTCGCAGTTCTAGGAACCTACACTGGACGGTGGGGGAGCCAAATTATGATGAGTTAATTTGAATATAATTAAGCTCAAGAGTTAAATGTAAATATCCATTGTTTGTCATTATCTTTTATTTTAGGATAATGATAACTTATCAGCCAATGAAATCATAATTACCAAAAATAAAGGATAAACCTAAGAATAAAGAGTAACCGATCATAAGAGATTCAACTATCTTCTCTCATTTTTTTTTGTTCACTCCAAAACCTCTCTTTCTCATGCTCTATATTCTCTCCTTAAAAGTCTTGCATGTCTTGGATTTCAGTAACGGTCAAGCAGAGAAGAAGGTTGTGTTTATTGTGCAGATCATACTCTTAGGGTGCGACTTCATGAAATGAACCCTGGTTTGGGTTCTAGCTCATCCAAACGTCGCCAAGAAGATGGTTCTAATCAAACCCACACCAATGCATATATTTAAGAGAAATTAAATATCCTCCTACCTTTTAATCCTACAAATTCCTCCTACCATTTAAATGATGACATGTGTCATATTAGTATCCTAAAATATCATCAAATCTCATTAAATGAGCATTAAATGTTACACATGTCACCATTTCATTGGGTAGAAGGATATGTTGGAACAAAAAATAGTAGGATATTTAATTTCTCTATATTTTAGGCAAAGCTACGACAAAAAGAAATTTTAGACTAAAACCGTAATATTTTGACAACGACAAGGACCATTCCTGTAATTTACAAAGAAAAACCCAACATCTGTCTCAGTGTCTCACCTCTCTCGCTGGCTCCTTTCTTTCCTCGTTGACTCGCCGTATAGCGGCCGACTTGGCGCCGTTCGCTCTGGATTTTTCACTCGACTTCCTTCTCAATCGCGTTGCTGTTGGATCGTCCGCTATTTTCTCTGCTTCAGGTGTCGCTGTAGCTCTGTAGGCTGTATATGAATGAACATTCTTTGAAGTT